CCGCTCCGTGCCCCCCCCGCTCCGCTCCCGTCCCTCACGCACCGCTTCCTCCTCAGGTACCGTCAACACCTTCGCGCTTTACGGCGCCGCTGTCGCAAAAACGCCGCACCCCACTCCGCTTTACGGCGCGGCGGAGACTGCAACTCCCAGCGCCCCCCGCGCGGCTCCGCTTTACGGCACGGCGGGGACTTCAACTCCCAGCAACCCCCGCGCGGCGCAGGCGCAGAGCGCGCGGTGCGAAAAAGGCGGGAAGGCGTCGAGCGGGCGCTGAGGTGAAGGCAAAATGGCGGCGGGGCCGGGATGGGCGGCGGGGCGGCATCGCCTCCATTGCGACTCACGACCGCGGGATGCGGGCGCTCCTCCGGGGCGTTGGGGGCGGGGTGAAGCGGAGCGGGGCGGCGGGGGAGGGATTTGTTGGGAAATAAGTGGGAAATGGTGAGAAATGGGTGAGGCCACAGCCTGCGTCCCTTCCCCTCAGGTGAGCGCGGCGATGGGCAAAAGGAAGAGCGGCCAGGCGCCAGGTAACGCCTCGAAACGGCCCCAAACGGCTTCAAACCGCCGCGTTTGTGACCAGCACTGCACCCAGCACCGCCTCAACGCGGTGTTTTCGGTGCCTTTTTCCACCTAAGACCCACAGATCGGCGCTGGCCCCCAAAATCCCTCAGTTTGGGGCAAAATGTGTGGGATGAGCGACGCTGAGCCGCTTTCAGTGGGGATTCGGGAGGAAAAGTGCTCAAAACTGCACCAAAATGCCCCCAGGTTGGCGGGGGGGGGGGGCAGGGGCTGCTCCTAAGGCCCAATTTCAGTGGTTTTTTCCTCAAAAGTCCCTCCGTTCTGCACAGGAAATGAGAGCTGAGCGGTGCTGAGAGCACAGGAGCCCCGTTTGTGAGGGGGAAAAGTGCCCAAAATGGCACAAAATGTCCCAAAATCCCATTTGGAAATGGGAACTGAGCAGTGCTGAGAGCACAGGAGCCCCGTTTCTGGGGGGATTTGGGGGAAAACTGCCCAAAATGGGACAAAATGGCCCAAAATCCCATTTGGAAATGAGAACTGAGTGGAGCTGAGAGCACAGGAGCCCCGTTTCTGGGGGGATTTATGGGGAAAAGGGCCCAAAATGGCCCAAAATCCCATTTGGAAATGGGAACTGAGTGATGCTGAAAGCACAGGAGCCCCATTTCTGGGGGGGGTTGGGGGTAAAAGTGCCCAAAATGGCCCAAAATCCCATTTTTTTGTGTGGGTTGGAGCCTCACGGGGCACTGAGTGCAGAAAGCTGCATCCAAAAGCCAAAAAAAAAAGCCTTTTTTGCCCCAAAATGAGGGCTGTGGGTTGAAACCATCCACGTCCCACTGTCCCACGGTCCCAATTAGCGCTGTGCCGTTAATTAACGACGCGTGGGCTCCGCAATTAGCGTCCGTCAGCGCAGCCTTCCCGACCACGAGGCGCCGCGCTTTCAGATGGGCTCAGAACGGCATTTTTCTCCCCAAAAAGCGACCCGAGGAGCCGCCCTCCCCTGCTCACCCAAACCCGGGTTGTGCCCGGGCCCGGCGCTTAATTAGGGCGCTGTTAATTAACGTTTGCTTCCGGTGCTGTTCCTCTATCAGGTGGGGCCGACGGTGACGGCCGTGCTGCCAAAGCCAGGGCAGGACTGCAGGGGGACCGGGGGGCAAACGGGGGGGACAAAATTGGATTGGGGAC